GCCAAGAATGAGCCCTACTAGGTCGCCGGGGACAAATCTTTCGGTGCCGCTTGTGTTCAGTTCGCACCCTCAGAAGGTCTGCGGTCTCTTAAAGGAATCTTCCACGGAAAAAGCTCCGCCCTCATTACCACAGAAAACGATACCTTAAAGGAATCTTCCACGGAAAGAGTGATCATTTTGTCTTGTGTGTAGGATTAGTATTATCGAAACTAACGCTTATGTTCCGTTCTTTTTGCTATGCTCATGAGGCTAGGGGCCTAAGGGGTATCGTTTTTCTGTGGTAATGGAGGCGGAGCTTTTTCCGCGGAAGATTCCTTTAAGTGCCAAGGCAACGAGAATTGAGCATGGAGGAGAGAGGCTTGAGAGCCGAACGGACGAGAGGGCACAGACATCAATACACTGCGGATGGGGAAAAATGGAAACGGTCGAAGCAGTCGTTGGGAGCCCTCGCGCACTTCAGAGGCGGGAGAACGGCACATTTGCGACCTTCGTTAACAGCATGGCCTATTCAACAAAATTATTCTTTACCTGAACTCATCCTGGACTGTGTCTTTACTTCTTGTACATAAAATACATATACTAAGCACAGCACGAATAAATCGACCAAATGAATTGGGGAGGAGGGGGAGCGGGAGTGATTGGTCGGATTGAGTGGTATCTTTTATCGCAGACCATAGGAATTCCGACCTGATTCTTCAGCTACTGGTTTGAATTTTTCAGAAATCTTCCGCGTACAATCCAGTTCTTTCGAAAAGTCTATGGAAGCTGTCACTTTTCCTCATGTGAATAAAGTTGGCCTCAATAGTCGCCCAAACGGCGTGGCGATGTGGTTTGGTTGGTTGATTTACACATTTCGGGAAAGGGCGAGCTTCAGAAGCTTCCGAATTTTTTCGACTTGTATTTCTTCAAAAATATCGAATTTAGGCAAGAGTATGGAACATGTCGATCGATCGCTGTTTGGACTTCCCAGTTTAGAACCTGACTGGACTTACGATAATTTCTGCAAAAGATACATGGATAACGAAACGTCGTTGTTCAAGGATTATGCGAACAGGGGATACAAAGTAAGCTGTGTTTGCTGATCCAACTCACTTGTTAATTCTTATTAAACCAAACCAATTCTGCGCACCTTGAAGGCAAGGGTTGGAATAGGCGACCAAACTAATCCCTCCATCACCTCTGAGAGTGATCACGCACCCACAGAGATGACATCACGCTCGTAATTTGA